CGGCACTAGGAGAATCGGATAATCTGCGAAATGCTACCCTACCGAAATGCTCCGGTGTATAAGTCCGTCATTAAAAAGTGCACGACATCGTGATCACAGCGCATGCGAACATTAAGTGTTACTCCGACTCAAATGTTTTAACTTCTACGCGATATTCGAGTGTTCATTTAAGAAATTCCATAGCAGTATAATAATTTGAAGACAGCCCCCGCGCTCAAGTAGTACATGGTCGTCCTTCCTTGTAAGTAGTCCAGCCCCCAAGCTAGAGACTATCCCACTCTCGCGACTCCACAGTGAGCGAGGAGCGAGCTACAGCCGCTGAAAGTTCTAGTTCTAACGCCCGCTCAGTTGGACCGCCCACTTGCTAGATGCCCTCTGACGGAGGCCGCTCAGTTGTTCTTTGTTGGGACGGCGGGCATTAATCGGAATGCATGTACTTTTTGCTGACCGCGCTCGTGCCCATAAATAATTCTGCTCTCCTTTATTACATTTTATTCATTGGGAGCACATACAGTCAACTGCAACCCATCAGGTAAAACGCGTAAAAATCACGAAGTGATGCAATTTTTGTGGTGCAAAAGCTCGACATGCACTAAAAGCCGCACACTGCACGTAACCCCAAATTCGGACGCCAAGTTTTTGAATTTTTCTTTTTTAAGTGTTTTTCGTTCGTGTTTTTGTTGTTTTTCGTATTCTTTTCTTTGCACTGGATGATATCCACTACTGGGAGATGCGATAAAGCGATTTGTGAGCCAGGGGTTGCACAGAGACCGCAGGGCGGTGTGACTGTCAGGGAGCGATTTTGTTTATGGTGTTCTTGAGGGCTCTTCTTGCTTTTTTCCTTCTTTGAGGAATTACTTATCAGCTACTGTTTCATAATTGAACAGCAACTATCCTTGACACTTTTATCGCGGGAGCTGTCTTTAAATGGGATGAAGCAACTTGAAAGCTATTTGTATCTTCAAAGCGGTTGATTCCGAAAGAAGAACAGTTCAAGATGTGACCATGAAAAACTACAGTTAAGTAATTAGTCAAGGAAATGATTAGAGATTAGATGGGAGAAGTTTGAAGGAAACATCAAGTATAGAACTTCTCTATGGGAAAACGCACGTACTAAGGCGACCTTCGCAGTAGAGTCACAATCAAGGGATTATAAGTCAGTTCTTAAAAGAAGGATTCAGAGCTTGGTAGAAGAACTTTGTTCTTCCTATCCTTTTACCCTGAAATGCTGCAGAGAGTCGCGACTTTTGCGCGACTTGTTGCAACGATCGACGATGGACGCGACCAACGAATTCGGCCCGTTCATCAAATAGGCGTCGCCAGAATCCGTACTGAGATCCCACCGCGCGCGCTAGTCTAATCAACAACCCGACAAAAATGCTGCCCCTCAAGCGCAGGT